GCAGTGCTGCACTTGAACCCATTGTGCCACCAGGGAGGGCCCAAAAGGTGGGTTTTCCAATAACCTGGAAAAAAATCCAGAACCGGAGTAACCAAAGTATTAGCAACTAAAATACTGGAGAAACTTTGGGAGAGCCTCTTACAAGTCAGCAACATGAAAGAGCAAGGGAGGAGCAATGTAAAATAAGTGACACTTTCTTTCAGGTATCAAGAGGAAATACCAAAGACAGCTGAGTCTCACTTCAGTAAGAAACTGAACACCCAATGAAGGAAAGGGTGGTTCTTAAGTGTAGTTTCATTTTTAAACAAAATTGATTTTATGCAGACAGAGCTGGGATACAGGCCAGAGGCGCAAGGGCGGTGAGAGGCTTCACCAGAGAGAGAGCAGGAGCAGAACAGGCAGACTGACAAAGACCACCGCTGAGGGGAGCAGTGGGCAGTCAGGCGATGTCTGCCGCGCCATGTGGTCACCTCAGGGCAGGAATCAAACTCACACTGAAGTGGCTGGGGCTGGCTTACAGTGCTGCGTCCTAACCCATTGCGCCACCAGGGAGGAACCTGCAGTTTCATTTTTAAAGCATTTTAAACTTCAAATGCTTTGGAGTGTTTTCACTGTTTACTTTTTAAAGTGTGATAACAGGCCTGCCCTGATGGCGCAGCCGGCTAAAGCTCAGAACTGCAAGCCAGCCACAGCCTCTGTCTCCCCGCTGCTCCCCCCCAGCAATGGATTTCGTCCTTCTGCTTCTTCTGCTCCCCACTCTGTCTCTGGTGAAGCCTCTCACCACCCCTCCACTATTGGCTTGTACCCCAGGTCTGCATGTATAAATAAATAAATAAATCTTTTCAAAAAATACAGTGTAGTAACATTTTTGAGAAAATCTGATTTTAAATTTAAATATATAGGCTGTGTGAGCAGCGAGTGACTAGGAAGAGTCTTGATTTCATGTATTATGTGATGAAACACTTAATGAGTTTATAAGGTAGAAACCTTGTCTTTTGGTTTCTGGAAAACCATTTCTGAATGTTTTCAGAATCTTGTTCCTTGCTTCTTTTTGCTTGGGAAGTCTGTGCTGTGCTCTTTTTCCAGAGGGTTGTGAGAGATCACTTCCTCCAGGTAGTGGACAGCTGTATGACGCTGGTCCCTAGATTAGAATTGAAACCAATAAAAATGGGAACAGTCACGACACAGATGAAGTATTTTTGAGACAGTTACTTTTCAAATTCTGTGAAAATTGCTTCTATTTAGACATAGGCTTTCAGAGTTTCGAGAAAAGTTTGTTTGCATAATCAAGGCACTGTAACTGGAAACAGCCATGTTGAGCAACCGGACAAGTTGCGCCTGCTTCTCCCTGGCAGCGTTTCCAAGAGGGCATAAACTCTAAGGGAAGGATTGGAAAGGCCCGGAGGGGCTGAAAAGGTGGCTCTAAACCTGGCTTTGGCCTTACTTCCTTAGTCACAATCATTTTATGTTTGTTTCCTCTAACTCTGCAGGAGACACTAAAGGTTGCTACTAGGAGCAAAACTTGCAGTTCCAACCTGGTGCTTATGATAGTCAGCAACATTTGTTCAGAAATTTCTAGCCATCTTTTAAAATACTTATTCATATTCTCCAGGTATAGTAAGGCAGAAGTGGCATTTGTTTTTCTTTCTTTTTTAAAA